ACACCTGATTTCTCATCAGAAACTCTAAAGGCCAGAAGGGAATGGCATGAAGTACTCAAGGTAATGGAAAGCAAGGATCTGAGATCAAAATTACTATATCCAGCAAGGCTATCATTCAAAATAGATGGTCAGATAAAGAGCTTCCCACACAAAAAAAGGCTAAAGGAGTTCACCACCACCAAGCCAGCATTACAAGAAATGCTAAAGGGATTTCTGTAAGGGATTGCTGAGAAGAAGAAACAGAGAGAGAAACCTAGCCATACAGAATTAAGATGACTATAAATAAGTACCTCTCAATAATAACCCTAAATGTAAATGCACTAAATGCTCCAATCAAAAGATGTAGGGTAGCAGAATGGATACAAAAATATGACCCAACTATATGCTGTCTACAAGAGAACCACCTCAAAACAAAAGACACACACAGGATGAGAGTGAAGGGATGGAAAAAAATTTTCTATGCAAATGGAAAAGAAAAAAAAAGCTGGAGTAGCAATACTCATATCTGACAAAATAGACTTTAAAATGAAGGCCATCACAAGAGACAACAAAGGTCACTACATAATACTAAAGGGATTGATCCAACAAGAGGATATAACCCTGGTAAACATATATGCACCCAATATAGGAACACCTAACTATGTAAAAAAAACTTCTAGAGGACTTTAATGGAGAGATCAACAACAATACAGTCATAGGAGGGGACTTTAACAGCCCTCTAACTTCACTGGATAGATCTTCCAGACAAAAACTTAACAAGGAAACAGAGACTCTAAAGGACACACTGGATCACATGGATTTAATTGACATTTCATTCACAAAGATCGAACACATATTAGGACACAAAACAAGTCTCTACAAGTTCAAGAAGATTGAAATCATATCAAGCATCTTCTCAGATCACAGTGGAATGAAATTAGAAATCAACTACAGTAAAAACACCCAAAAACATTCAAACACATGGAGGCTAAATAACATGTTTTTAAACAATGAATGGGTTACAAAAAGTTCAAGAAAGAAATCAAAAACTTCCTGGAAACAAATGAAAATGAACACACAAAACCCCAAATCTCTGGGACACAGCAAAAGCAGGCCTGAGAGGGAAGTTCATAGCACTACAGGCATACCTCAAAAAATAAGAAACATCAGCAATAAACTATATATCCCTACAACTTAAAGAACTAGAAAGAGAACAACAAGAAAAGCTCAGAGTAAGTAGAAGGAAGGAAATAATGAAGATCAGAGCAGAAATAAATGACATAGAAACTAAAAAAATAAAATAAAAATCAAAAAATCAAAAAAATCAATGAAACCAAGAGCTGGTTCTTTGAAAGGATAAACAAAATTGATAAACCATTAGCCAGACTCATATAGACAAGGAAACTGGGTACAGAGAGATTAGACAATCAAGGAGTGGGGCAGCTGGGCTCTGAGTCCTTGCTCTTAATCATTTTCCAAGCCAGTGCTTCTTCACTCCACACCATAGCCTCTGCACAGACATCTATATTCATCACCTTCTTCAGAGGCTCATTTCCCAGAGAGCACAGTGGCTGGCAGAAGACTGTTTATCATAGACTCCTTATTCATTCACTCAACAGGTAAACATTCAATGAGCACCTGGTATGTGCCAGGAGCTGTGCTAGGCTTCAGGAGTTCACTATTTCATAATAATGAAAATGGATTCTGGCTTTTCTTTTCTTTTAGCAAATTCTGCTTTCTCAATGGGCAAAATATGAGCATTTTCCACAAGGAGACACAAACTCAGGATGGTGATGATTAGTTGTATGAATGGAGCTGTAACTCTAGAAGGGCTGACAAGCACGTTTGACAAGCTTATGTCTCATTTCTCCATCCAGGGAACATCACACTTTAGCTTCCATGAATAATGTTAGCTTAGGGCCAGCTAAAAGTCAGGCCATTCTTGTCGGGGGTGGCTTGGGGTAGTTTCCATTATTGGTATTAAAATCAATTTTAGAAGTCATACTTAGTGCATATGTAGCATCATCATATAGTGTGATTTTAAATGGTTCTTCATGTGAATAAAATATTTTATAGTTGTGTGTACATGATTACACCTTAAACAAATTGAACATATAAATATTAACTTAAAAAAAGGAATATGTCACAGATTTTGTTTTTAAGTGAATACTCTCCTTTATAGTTAAATCACATTTTAAGTATATCAATTTTAAGAATAAATCTGTTGTATAGGAACACAAAAAAGAACTTTTCCCTAATAAAAATTCGAGAGTAAATTAACTGTGAGGCAAAATGTGTAGCAATAGAAACTTCTGAGGAGGTGTCTTCAGTATATGCACTAGCAGTAGCATCTCTAAGGCAGGGAGTTTATTCTCCAAAACTCAGCACTGGGCCTGGGCATAGTGGCCACTCACAATGCGTTCATTCAATGAAGACAAAAGGATGAAAGAACGGAGTGGAAGGCAGGGCCTCTGTGCACAGCCAGCAAGCTATGCACTGCACAACTCCAGGAGGTACCACTTCTACAGCCAATTCTGATGAAATAAATAAACAGAATGGAATAAATAGAATAAATGAGAGCATGGAGTTATAGAAGCTATCTTAAGCTCCAAATATATTTATTGATTGATTGATTGATTTGAGAGAGAGAGAGAGAAAGAGAGAGAAATAGATTTGTTGTTCCACTTATTTATGCATTCATTGGTTGATTCTTGGATGTGCCCTGACCAGGGATCGAACCTGCAACCCTGGTGTACTGGGATGACACTCTAACTGAGCCACCCAGCAAGGACCATATTTTTAGAATAGTAAGTTCTGATGAGCTCTCTTTTAACTTCACTAATCACAGCTGTTGTCAGAATAATAGTATACCATCTTTGCTTCAAATTGAGCAAACTGAGAGGTTAAGTGACTCAATTAAAGGCATATATGACTTTAAGGACCTAGAATAGGTCTGGAGTTGCCAAAATTCCATTTCACCTTTCTATTTACTGTATAGAGGCACATCAGACACTTCAACCCTACTATTCTTCCAGTAAGTCACACTGAAGTTTGATGGTGGTGGTGGTGGTGGAGGGGGTGGGGGAGTACAGATTCTCTCTTATGCATATTGTATTATACTGGTGTGTGCAATTTATTAGTTATAAATAACATTTCATTTTCAGTGTTAAATTTATATGGTCAATGTTGAACTGGACAGCCCCCGTTTCATACTGCCCATTTGAGATCTCTATTTTTGCCAGAACCATTGACATAAATGCTATGCAGCAGAGTGTAATGAGGCACTTTCATGGAGCCTCATCACTCTTTCTTGAAGGGACCACCCCTCGGTCACAGACATTGCCTCTGTCTCCTTTGGTCTTTATGCATTAATCATTTGCTTCATTTCCTGGGGGGAGGGGACATTTATGGATATAGTTTATGGATATTAAAAGCAGTAAAATCTCAATTTCCATTCTATAAAACTCCATTGGGGCTGAAATTTTCAAAGTTATTTTACCAAAGCAGTTATAAATCTAGAGCCTGATAAGAGGAGGGAATGAAATACATTTATATATATTTTTTTTCATATATATATATATAGATTTCAGAGAGGAAGGGAGAGGGAGAGAGAGATAGAAGCATCAATGATGAAAGTGAATCATTGACCGACTACCTCCTGAACGCCCCACATTGGGGATGGAGCCCACAACCCAGGCATGTGCCTTGAGTGGAAATCAAACCCTGATTTCTTGGTTCATAGGTCAATGCTCAACCACTGAGCCATGCTGTCTGGGCTATGTTTTATTTTTTCTTTGTGATTTGGTTACTCAGACACCTTGTATCATGGGGGAGTTCAGGAAGTTACTAAAGTAAACACTGTTTTAGTCTTGCAAAATAGATTTTAGCCCTAACCGGTTTGGCTCAGTGGATAGAGCGTCAGCCTGCGGACTGAAAGGTCCCAGGTTTGATTCCGGTCAAGGGCATGTACCTTGGTTGCGGGCACATCCCCAGTTTGGGGTGTGCAGGAGGCAGCTGATCGGTGTTTCTCTCTAATCGATGTTTCTCTTTATGCTTAAAAATCAATAAAATATATTTAAAAAATAGATTTTAGATGCACAGTGACCAGATGGGAAAATGGTTTTAAAAGTAAATAAATGTAATTTTTGTTAGTTAAATAGATGACTGTGAAAACTAAATTCATAATATACTGAAATGTAGAGAACCTATATGCATTTATATGCTCATCTAGTTATTAATGGAGGGTGGTAAGAGACACATTTATTGAGCACTTATTACTTGCCAGGGACCACACGAGGTATATAAATGTGTTATTTTATTTAATAGAACTCTATATTTTGTAGATATCATTTCCATCTTACAGATGAAGAAACATAAGATTGGAGAGTATTACAGCAACTTGCCCCATTGACACAGCTTGTAAGTGTTGGAGGTGGGATTGGCTCCACATTTTTGTATCATGTAGAAACTTGTCAATGACAACGTTTCTTTTAAAACGTTTGCCACACCTGTAAACCATTTGACAATACAATTTTCTAATGTAATTTTTAGCGACCACATTTTAAAAGAAATCACTTCTACTTACAACTTATGGTTATTCCAAGTTCCACGTTGTGCTTTTTAGGGAGCTTTACATGAAATGTTCCACTACTCGGGATGACAGACTCTGTAATTTCAAAACAAAAAAGAGTGTTTATAGAAGGTCGGCAAGGAGGGAGCGCCAATCAATGAAAATGCACCGGGAAACTTGTATCAGAATCCCCTGTAGTTAAAGCTGTACAACTGAAGAAAGGTGAGTGCCTGTAAAATCCTGGAACCCTAAGCTCCTGGTGAAGAATACATGTCCTATCCACAGCCACCGTGCATAATTCACAGCAGCAGTCAAGGTCACTGTTTCTTCAGTGTCATTCAGGGCATCAGATTTACCTGGGATGCAAGTTAAAAATACAGATGCCTGTACCATCCCAGATCTATAGAAGCAGAATGTCTGAAGATGAAGCCTAGAAATCTGCATTTTAAATAGGTTCTTCAGGTGACTGTTAGGCATAATAAAGTTTAAGAACCTCAAACCTAGTTATATATTCTTTTCTTCCCTAACCATATTTTCCCAGAGTTTACTATTCAACAATTCATTTTTTCAACCCTTGTTTGAAGGTACTAGGGGGAAAACATTTCAGGAAAGATTTCAATTTGGTTTGATGGTTGTTGATTTGGGAGGAGGGGAAGGGAGGTGCCTTAATTTGTAAAGAGAAAGAGAGAGGGAGAGCGGCAGTAAGGGAGCGAGGAAAGAGAGAACCATCAATTTTTGTTCTGCTTATTTATGAAGGTATTAGTTGATTCTCTCCTCTCTCTCTCTC